CCACAACCAGCAGACTGAAGGGGGTCTGAAGTAAGCCTTAAGACCCCCGGATTGGGCAGGCAACTTCCTAACTCTTAACGTTACCTCTTCCGGAGGCCTCGGTGGGCCCCGACTCACACGGGTTTGCTTCGCGCTTGCAAAATTCGGTGTCCTCATGTCTCTCCCCCCCCCCCCCCCCGGGCTCCGCGTGGGAGCAAACTTCCCACGCCATTGCCAGCCCCTGCGGGAGTCTGTGGAGCTGAGGAGGCAGTTGTCCCCACGTCCAGCACGTCCTCCTCCTCCTCCTCCTCGGGGTTTGGAAGACGAGCGCAGTTTGTGGGGTGCTCATGGCTGTCACTCCTGGGGTGCTGCCCAGTTCGTGCTGTCTCCTTTTTGCTTCCTTCCGTTTATTTTTAGCTGTTGCTGCCGTTGCCTGTTGCTTGGAGACTGGTGTGCTGTGTGTGTGTGTGTGTGAGAGAGAGAGAAAGAGAGAGAATTGAGTGGGGGGGGGGCTTTTTAGGTCCTGCGTTGCCAAGAAGCAAGGAAGAGGGAAGGATGCTGAATTGCATTTGAAAGGGTGGGGGTACCACTCCATTTGGCCCGAGTGCAACTCTGCCCTCGGTGGGCATGTGTGTGTGTGTGTGTGTGTGTGTGTGTGTGTGTGATGCAGTTAAGGTATGCCAGCCCCCCCAGGTTGCAGTATGTGGGGATTTTGGCTCTCAAGCCCTCCCACCCTTTGCTAGAGATGACATCACCGTCCTAATGGCTCGGTCTTACGCCGATGCCCTTGAACCAGGCGCCGGTGTCCCTGGCCTCCATTACAGGGGCCTGAATTATTGATGGGCTCAGAGCGCCTGGGGTTTGGGAAATGGGAAACCACAGCTCCCCCCCCCCCCCCCCCCCCCACACACACACACACTCCTCCCCCCTCCCTTCCCCACCAAGCTCTTGACACCCTCCCTGAAGGCATTGGGCACAGGCTCAGCAATTTCAGCGAAGGAGAAATGAAAGCATTGGGGGTTGGATCTTTCCTGGGCCACAGGCAGGCCGAGTTCAGACAACTGCACATGCTCAGCCAGAGTTTCCCCTCCCGTGGCGGGGATGGATGCGCCAGGTGGGAAGAAGCCCTGTGATTCGATCTGGGGTGAGCAGAACCACACCCGGGTTTGTGTGACTTGTACCTGGTGATGCTTAAAGCAGGGGTCTCCAATCTTGGCCGCTTTAAGGTTTGTGAACTTCAACTCCCAGAATTCCTCAGCCAGCAATTAAAGTGGCCAAGGTTGGCTGAGGAATTCTGGGAGCTGCAGTCCACAGGTCTTAAAGTGGCCAAGGTTGGAGACCCCTGGCTTAAAGGATTCGCGGAGAATGGAGGAAAATGTGTACAGGTAGTCATGGACCACAGTTGAGCCCCAAATTTACATGGCTAAAGCAAGACACTTCTCAGGTGACTTTTGCCCCCATGTTAACGACCGTTCTTGCCACAGTTGCTTAGTGGATCATGGCAGTTGTTAAATTAGTAGTGCGGTTGCAAAGCAATTCTGGCTTTCCCATGGACTTTGCTTGTCAGAAGGTCGCAAAAGGGGATCACGTAACCCTGGGACACTGCAATTGTCATAAATACGAGCTAGTGGCCAAGCATCTGAATTTCTGATTGCCTGACCCACCATAATTATTATTAAGCATGGAAAAACGGCCACCGATCCAATATTTTTTAAGTGCTGTTACTACTTCGAATTAATCGCTAAACGAATGGTTGTAATTCGAGGACAACCTGTATACAGTGTACGGTTTATATACCAACCTTGAAAAAGGGGGGGATTTTAAGACGAAGACTTTTTAAGTTCCAACCGTTGGGCCTCCTTTGCAGTTCAGTGACCAAACTTTGCCTTTGGCAACATGACTAAATTTATAGCCGCCTTGTGGCAATTGCGGCTGTATATCGTACAGTGGTTTTGCCAAAGCAAACCGTTGGTTCGTTTAACAACCGGAGTGTTTTGCTTTAGAGCCGCTACAAAAACAGTTGTATGTCGAAGACTGTGCAGCACAATACTTTAAAGCCTTGACCCAGGTTTAACAAAAGAAGGTGTGTGATTTTACATTTTATTGGGCTCAAATAAATATAACCGGGGTGGGATTCAAAATTTTAACAACTGGTTCTGTGGGTGTGGCTTAGGTGGTGGGCATGGCTTGGTGGTCATTGACTGGGTGGACATGGCTTGGCGGTCATATTATTGGCTGGGCGTGGCCAACTCAACATCACATCGAGGGACGCATCTCCTCGCCTGGCCTTTCATGACTGTGGGGATGCTGCAACAGTCGTAAGTGTAAAAAATGGTCATAAGTCACTTTTTTCAGTGCCTTTGTAACTTTGAATGGTCACTCCACACAAGCAAAGTACCAGCAAAGGAGGGGAGAAAAACTCCAGAGAAGTTCCTGAGACAGGAAGTCTAGTCCTGCCAAGAGTGTAATAAGGGTTAACAGGGAGTTTTTGTAAGCAACACCAGAATGTTTCCTTCCTGCCCTCCTTACAGGATTAGGCCAGTAATTTCTTCTAACAACCGGTTCTCCAAACTGCTTAAGATGTTAACAACCGGTTCTAGCGAATAGGTGCTAACTGGTAGAATCCCACCCCTGAATATCTACCAAGCAAAAAGATGTGTCCCAAGGAAACTCTAGTTCATGATGGTGAACCTATGGCACACAGAGCCACTTCTGCTGACACATGAGAAGTCACCCAGAAGAGCTCCACTGCACATGTGCACGCCGGCCTGACAGCTGATTGTCTGGCGTCTGGCACAGGGGGCATGGGAGATGCACGCACATGCGCAGAGATGTGTGGGGTTTGCAGGGGGGGGTCTTGCATGCATGCGCAGAGATGCGTGGCGTGCACGGGATTGTGCGCGCATACGCAGGAGGGGGCTCCGCACACATTGCCTTCTGGGTGCTGGCGCACACGAGTGCGCATGCAATTTTCAGCACAAAAAGGTTTGTCACCACTGCTCTAGTTTGATCAGCATAAGTGGCTTCACAGGGGTGTTGTAGAAAGTTAGGCTGCCTGGCAATTCTTCCAGAGGGAAGCACAGAGAGTCCTCGACTTTTTTGTTTAGTGACGGTTCAGAGTTACAGCGGGCCCTGAAAAAACTGACACGATCCTTTTTCACACCGACGACCGTGGCAGCGTCCCCCTATTTACACAACTCAAAATTCAGATGCTTGGCAACTGACTCGTATTTATGACGGTGGCCGCATGTCCCGGGGGGTCACCTGATCCCTTTTGGAGACCTTCTGACAAGCCGAGTCAATGGGGAAGAGCGATTCACTTAACAACCGGGCTGCTAACTTATCAACCACGCTGCTTCACTTAGCGACTTTGGCAAGAAAGGTCATCAAACGGCGGGTGGGGGGGAGGGCAAAACTCACTTGAGGACTGTCTTTGTTGAGCAGCCTAAATTTTGGGGCTCCGTTGTGGCCGTAAGTTGAGGACTCCCTTTATATTGGGGTGCTGGCTGGGGAATTCTGGGAGTTGAAGTTCCCACACCTTCAAAAAGGTTGAGAAACATTTTAGAGCGCCAGTGGGCCTGTGGGTCAAAAAATCTCAAGATATAATGGCTGCAACCATGAGCTGAGAAGACCGCCTTTTTTGGGGGGGGTGCACTGTGTTGAGTTAGATTGGTCCGACCAGAGCGGTTGAGACGCAGCCAGCTGCGAAGGGGAAACCCCCCCCCTCTCCCCAAATGGCTGAGAAAGGCTAGCTTCCCCTTCCTCCTCGCCTCCCAAAGGGAGGAGAGCCAGCAATTCTGACTCTGCTGTGCTGGAAAGGTTGTTTATGAAACAATGGGAGAGGCCCCCATCTTGCGGGGAGAGAGAGTCTTTATTTGTGACTTCCTGTTGGGGCAGGGGGGGCGGGACGGAGGGGCCTTGTGAAAACTTTTCAGAGGAGCCGGGGGCTGCATTGCACTGCTGGCCACACATTTGCAAGATGTAGCATCATCCCCCCCCCCGTTTGTTTCTTCCCCGGTTTGCGTGGGGGGGGGGGGGGCTTCGATGACCATCTGGGATCTTCCACAGCCCTGGGTATTTTCCGGGGAAGTTTGATCTTGATGGCGGAGCAGGCAGTGGCGGCTTCTCTGCCCCCACCCCCCTCTTCCCCTCGCCAGGAATGCTTTGCAGAGTTTGTGCTCCGCTGTTGGCTGGGAAAAAAGGAAGCCTTGTCTCGAAGTTGCTGACCTCAGCTGCGAACCATTCCCCCTCCTGCTCCCCCCCCCCTGCAAGCCTGCTGCCCGGGGAGAACATGGCACAAAGGCGCTCGGTCCGTCCCTCCGTCCCCCACTTCTAAACACGCCTGATGCTTGTCGGGGACGTAATGGGGCTGACTCTTTTCCCGGGGCCAGGGTGTGTGTGTGTGTGTGTTTTCAAGACCTTCGCCTCCTCCACTAGCCAATTACACCCTGCAGCACCTTTAGGCTGCCTGGGGTGGGGTGGTGGGGAAGGTTGCAAGTTGTGGGATTCTGCTGGGTAGGACTTGGTGCCAAAGGGAGGGAGTCTTCCCTTCGAGCTGGCTGTTCTCGCCCTCCCACGCTTGGAGGGCCCAGCCTGGAAGTCGCGAGGCGGCTTGGCTGCCCTCCCAGCCTCCTGGCTGCAGAAGAGGGAGAGGCGGCGACGGTGGCAGCGGCAGCAGCCGGTTTCCTGTTTTCCCTCCCTTGGCACACTGGGGAGGAGGTGGGGGGGGTAGGGCTGGCTAAAATCCACATGCCGCTGCAGCAGCCATTGCATCCCAGTGGGGGGGGGGGTGGAGGGTAGCTTGGAGACACCCAGGGCTTCTGCCAACATGCCCTGAGCAGATGCAGCCAGAGGATCTGAGTATGGGAATTGCCAGCACTTTACTTTCTAACTCTTTTATGCGGGGAGGGGGGGGCGAATAGGCGGCGGCTAGGGTGGTGGGGTTCTTGGCCGTCCTATTCTGGAAACGCGCCTCCGCCTTCCCAGACCGAGCTGGCTAACGCTGCCCTTCGCCTTGCCAGGGTTCGCCTTCCCAGATTGGGCCTACAAGCCCGAGTCGAGTCCCGGTTCCCGTCAGATCCAGCTCTGGCATTTTATCCTGGAACTGCTGCGCAAGGAAGAATATCATGACGTCATCGCCTGGCAAGGGGATTACGGCGAGTTTGTCATCAAGGACCCCGACGAAGTGGCCCGGCTATGGGGGGTGAGGAAATGCAAACCTCAGATGAACTACGACAAGCTGAGCCGGGCCCTGAGGTGAGCCCGGGCAGGAGAAAGGGTGGAGAAGTTCCAGGAATTTGGAACGAGCGAGGAGGGCTTTATCGCACCTGGTTGGGAGCCTGACAGGAATGGTGGGAAAGGAAGGCTGCAAAATTCAGCCAGTGAGGCTCTCTCAAGCTTTTTAATAGAAACATTTAGAAACATGCATCTGCTTGCACGCATGCAGGCATCCACAGATGTACACATGCCAATCCGCCCAGCGCTTTTCTGGCAAAATATGGAAAACTTTGCAACTGGCTGGTTTTGTGGTGCTCCAATGGAAAACAAATTGAGGAATATATATATATATATATATATTTTGCAAGAGAGAACAAAACTTTAGGAGTAGGAAAATCTGGAATTTTTAAGGGCAGTTTTATTCCACTCGTTTCCCAAGCAACTGAGAGCACTATCGCTATCTGAAAAAGGTGTTTATGATTCATCTCTTTTTTAAAAAAAAAACTAAACAAAACTGGGCCTTTCAAACAAGATAGATGAGAAACGGAGCTAAACCAATGCAAGGTTTGGCAGGGCTTTGTTTTCAGTTCAACGGTCACTTCAGCATAGACCAGTTTTAGTTTGTTAGGTTGCTGGTTTAATTGGTTGGCTTGCTTTATAAATTTTCCATCCCATTTATTATTTGAAAGTTGAAAAGCCAGGGGGAACTGCATCTGTTATTGCATTCACAAAGGTCTCTTGCATAGCTTGGAAAAGATTCCTTTCTGAAAAGGTGGAATGCAGGTAGTCCTCAAGTTACAACATTTCATTTAGTGATGGCACTACAAAAAAGTGACTTATGATGGTTTTTCACAGTTACGACCTTTATAGCATCCCCACGATCATGTGGTCAAAATTCAGATGATTGGCAACTGGTTCATATTTATGACCGCTGTTGTGTCCCAAGGTCGTGTGATCCATTTTGGTGACCTGACAAGGTCAGAAGTCAATGGGGAAAAAACCAGATTTACTTAACAACCAAGTTGCTAACTGATCAACTGCAAGTAATTCCCTTAACTTTGTAACTTTGGCTGCCATGGCTGCAAGCTGAGGACTGCCTGTAGGAATATACTTAGGGGCCTCCTAGTCCCAATTCAGAAGCTATTTTACTGAAGTTTTTGTGCTATTCCATTAAAAAAAAAAAGATTGACTCGGGATTGGAAGCTACATGATGCAAACGAACATCAGCCGATAAATCCCCATAACTGGAGGGGTAGAAAAATGTACACTTGGCCCCAAGGCTAATGACTTGGTTAGGCTGGTTTCCCATCCTTACGTAATAAGCAGTTGTTCCTATGCAAAGTTTGTGGGCTAGTGGCTATTTGCAAGGCTGTGATCAAATCCCTTTGCAGCCATAGGGATGTGAAGCATCGCTTCTCCCCATGTGAACAGATGCTGCTTCACACTTGCTGAGGCTGTAACACTTTTCCTTTCAGAGCATGTAGACACCCACAGACTCCCAAGTTCGGTTTTTATGGTGGGGGAGAAGTGGGACTCGTGAGTCACTGACCCTCTCTTCCTTCTCCTCCTCCTCCTCCTCCTCCTCTTCTTCCCCCGTTCTCCTCTTCCCCTCCTCTTCTTTTCCTTCCTCCGCCTCCTCTCCCTCTGCTTTTCCTTCATTCCTTCCTTATCCCCCTCTTTTCATTTCTTCATCTTTTCCTCTTTCTCTTTTCCCTCTTTTCTGTCTTTCCTTCCTCTTCCTCTTTACCTTCCTCCTCTTCCTCTTTTCCTCTCCTCTTTCTCTTTTCCTTCCTTCCATCTCCTTCTCTTCCTCCTCTTTTTCTTCCTCTTTTCCCTCCTCCTCTTTTCTTCCTCCTCCTTTCCTTCCTTCCCTCCTCCTCTTCCTCTTTTCCTCCCCCTCTCCTCCTTTCCTTCCTTCCTCCTCCTCTTCCTCCTCCCAATCCTGCAGGTATTACTACAACAAGCGGATCCTGCATAAGACCAAAGGCAAACGTTTCACCTATAAGTTCAACTTTAACAAATTGGTGCTGGTCAACTACCCTTTCATCGACATGGGCATGGCAGGTGAGTATGGTGGGAGGACTTGCAGAGTGTCCGGGCAGCCTTCTCTCTGCTCTTCTGCAGACCTTCTTGAACCCATGGCTAGACAGCCAAAGAAACTTAAGTTTAAAGTGTTTAGTTCCACTGGAAAAACTAACAACCACCAACCCCTGTAACAGACATGCATACTTCTACGCTATGGTGGCTCTATTGGGTGTGCCCCAAAGGAAAAAAAATAAGAGGTTCAAAGGTCTTATTTTAGTTGTGGAAAAGTATCTTGACCCATAAGGAAGATAAATTTCCCATTAAATAATTTAACTTTGGAATGGGAGTGTCTCTGTAGATGTAATGGAAATACAGTATAGGTAGAGGTGTTTTTTGTTTTAATGTGGAGGTAGACAGAAGGAATTTCAGATTAAATTCTGGGTTCTGTTTTGGGTGGGTGATTGGCCCCAGGGGAAAACGAGAAATATGTATTTGCCCAAGAAGAATACTCTCCAGGATGTGGCCAGTTCGAAAGATCAAGGGTGGGTATGTCCACGCTTGGCAATTTTTAAGATCTTCAACAGTAGCGTTGGAAGTCCAAAGGTCTTAAAGTTGCCAAGCTTGGATACCCCTGATCTAGGGTGACATGGATGAGAGAACTGCCATGTCTGGGGATGTAGGAGAAGGGGTGGCAGTACCTGGAGACGGAGAGAAAAGGGGGTCAGCCTAGAATCTCTACATAACTACAAGCAGACTAAGTCTAACCCTTTTAATCCTTATCTAATTCTTGAGCAGGTTACCGGCAGTTAGTGGAGAAGATAGGTGTGTCTAAGCATGATTAGCAATAAATCAGTTTAATTGAGACTTTCACATGTGGACCTGAGCTTTGATGCCTGAAAGGGGAGCGGGGAAGGGCCTTTGACAAATGGGATAGATATTGAACAGGTCAACTGGTCTTGTGAATGCTTCCTTGAGCTGACTCGGTTGCAACTGGGCTCTGAGAAAGGATTGGCTGAATGGAGAGGGAGGTTAGTTCTCCTCTTAGTCATTTTCATCCTCGGTTCTTCTAATGTCGATTTCCCCGGCTTGCTTTCCTCCTCCTCGCAGGTGGGGCCGTGCCCCAAAGCGCTCCACCTGTGCCTTCAGGTGGCTCCCACTTCCGCTTCCCGCCTTCCACCCCATCTGACGTCTTGTCACCGGCCGAGGATCTGCGTTCGCCTGGGGTCTTCTCCGCCGTGGCTCGCCGCCTCGCTCGGGGTTCAGTCAGTGACTGCAGCGACGGCACCTCGGCCAATTCAGAAGTGGAGGAGACGTTGGCTGAAGAGCAGCGACGTGGCGGCGGTGGAGAGGCGGGTGGATTCCGTGGGCCCCCCTTGCCTGGCCATCCACGTTTGACCCACGACGCCCTCTTTAGGATCTACCCTCGCCCGCGAGTTCCTGAGCCTCTCAGCCCCTTCCCTGTGTCCCCCATGGCTGGGCCTGCTGCTCTTCTGCCCCCCCAGTTGTCCCCTGCCCTCCCCCTCACCCCCACTCACATAAATTACACTCCTTCCCCTACCCTCAGCCCCATGTACCCCAGCGGTTCCCACTTCTCCTTCAACCCCGAGGACATGAAGCGCTACCTCCAAGCGCACACCCAGAGTGTGTACAACTACCATCTCAGCCCCAGGGCCTTCCTCCACTACCCCAACATTATCATCCCGCAGCCTCAGCGCCTGGAGAAGCCCCCTCTTCCCCCTCCACCCCCGCAAGCTGAGGAGCCCCCCAGCCCTTTCAAATTCAAGCTGCAGCCACCACCGTTGGGGCGCCGCAACCGTGACAAGCAGCCTCCGCCAGCTCCAGCTGTGCCCCCGGGAAACTCCAGCGGTGGCCTTCCCACCGCCGCCTCCTCTTCGGCAGTTACTCCGGAGACCCTCGTCCCCCAGATCAAAGTGGAACCCATCTCGGAGGGAGAGTCCGAAGAAGATCTCACCGTAGAGGTCACGGATATCAGCGAGGATGACGAGGAGGTCTTTAAGGCTCCTTCAGCTCCCCTGGAGAAGATCGAAAACGGGGAGACTTCAGCCTTGGCGCCCCCTGTTTCTCGGGCTGGGGAGAGCGGCAAATGCATTCCCCTGAAATTACGCTTCAAACGCCGCTGGAGTGAGGATCAGCGGCTGGAAGCCGGCGCAACGGGCGACGAAACAGACGACAAGAAAGTGAAGGGCGAGGAGGACACCGGTGGTCACGGGGATGCGGTTGGAGGCCGGCGGATCAGCACGGAGCTGCAGCAGGCCACAGCTGAGCTGACCCTGGAGAATCGGGACTGCTAGACAGGACATGCAGCTCTCCCTCCCTCTGGACAGATGGACCGAGGACAGGGTGGGTGGGCTGATTTTGCTGCCTTAACTCAGAGATTTATCTTTCTATTTTCCTTTCTCTTTCTTTCTTTCCTTCCTTCTTTCCTTCCTTGGCCTGGAAACTCTGTACATGCTCTTTCTCCTTCTTTGGAAGCCAGAAAAAAAATGTAGGGGCGGGGAAGTTTTTACTCGTCTATATGCATATATAAATCTAAATCTAAATATATATATTATATATATGTAAAACCTCTTTGCAGGAGTGCGGGGCGGGATTTCTAAAAATTAATATGCCAGGTTCATTTTTAAGGGTTCTCTTTTCTCTCTGTCTCTCTCCCCCCCCCCCCCCCGCCACCCCCCCAGGCCTCATACACTATAAGCCTCAGGACCTTTTTAATTAAGATTTCCACCACCACCCCAAATACGGTGTAGTTTGAAAAAAGCATGGAAAGGGGGGCTTTGTACGGGAGAATAAGGGTAGTCTTATGAAAGCCCACCACTCTGCTCTTGTCCTCGTCCTCACACACACACACACTTGCAATTAGCAATCTTAAGCACAATACACTTTTTAATCCCCCAGTGGATCAAAAAGAGAGTTAGCCATATGTTCTCTGTCCCTCTTAACCCCCTTCCCATGCACCGTTGGCATTTAGCCATGCTGGCCACACGACCACAGAAATAGTCTTCGGACAACGCCGGTTCCCTCAGCCAAGAAACGTAGGTGAACCCGGTGCCCTAGAGTTGGATACGATCGAGAGGGAGACTTTTTACCTTTTTTTTATATATACATATATATATTAATGATATTAAAGATTTTATAGGCTGCCCAAGAATTCCTCTTCACTCAAGGCAGCCTAGGCGAGCCAAAAGGATGGGACATGCCTGCCGTGAATGGTTAGCATGGGATCATTAAGGCATCCTTGTTAAAAAAATCTTGTCTGTTGTGTTCCTGCGTCTTCTTTAGGAAAAAAAAAGGGGGGGATCTCGCGTATTTTCGGGGCTTGCTTATCCCCTGGATGGTTGAGAGGGGTGTTTTTGCAACATGTCATCCTCGCCAGCAGTGGCAAAAGCTAAATTTCCTATTTTAACTTTGTCAACCCTACCAAAGACTTCCTCCCTTTATGGCGACGCTCTAGGAAACCATTCAAAAGCAAACAAAACAGGGATAGGCTTGGGCCTAGCTCAGGCTTATCCAGCCTGCAGGCCGCATACGGTCCTGGATAGCTAGTAAACGTGGCTCCACGAGATTGTAAACTTTTTAATATTATGTGATTTATATACTGTACATTAAGGTAGTCCTCAGTTTACCAACGCAACTGAGCCCCAAATTTTGGTTGCTAAGTAAGACGGTTTTTTAAATGAGCCTTGCTTCCTGACCCAAAATTTGCTTAACAATTTGCAGTGATAGTTGTTAAAACAGCGGCAGTTTCGCCCTGGTTTACAACTTTGTATGACACAGTTAAGTGACTCATGAAGTTGTTAAGTGAAATGTGCGGTCATTAAAGAGAATCCAACTCCGCCTCCAGCTCTTTGCTTGTTGGAAGCTCACAAATAGTGGATGGCGTGACCCCCGGGGCAGCGCAACCGTCATAAATACAATGCATGGCAATTGACATGGCTCCGAATTTTGATCAGACGTGACCATGGGGACGCTGCAATGGTCATTAAGTGTGAAAACCGGTCATAAAGGTCACTTTTTCCAGTGCCGTTGTAACTTTGAACGGTCATTAAGCAAATGGCGATAAGGCAAGGATTACCTGTATGTATCTTATATGCCCCTCAGGAGAATTCCAGAACCAGTTTGGCCTAGTGGTTAAGGCAACAGGCTAGGAAGCAGGAGGTTGCGAGTTCAAGTCCCATCTTAGCCACGAAAGCCAGCTGGGTGGCCTTGGGTTGGTCCCTGTCTCTCAGCCCAACCCGCCTCACAGGGTGGTTGTGAGAAAATAGGAGGAAGAAGGTGTGTTCTCTCACCGCCTTATTTGTAAAAAGAATAAAGGCAGGATACAAATAAATAAATTAAAAAACAAATCTGCTTCACTCAGTGCAAGCCAAAAGGTGGGACCCCTGCAGCCATTTAACCTCATTAGATTTGGGAATTAAAGAGGGGGGGTGGATGGGTGGGATTTGAAGAGTTTTTTAAAGTGCCTGTTGAAATGCTGTTTCCAAGGGAACCTAAGCAGGGAGCGGACATTCCTTTTTTTCTCTCCGTCTGCACAACTGTTGTCCCTGAAAAGATGGCTCTTCCTTTCCTGGTGTGCCCCGTTCCCTCCCAGCAACTTCAGAAATTAAAGACCCTGTTTTCTCCCATCTTGTTAAAACAATTCCACCTTTTTGCTTCTGCAAGGGGATGTTGTTTGGGGGTCAACAAAAAAGACCCTCACAGGATGGGACGGTGCCTGGGTTAGAAAACAAAAATATTTGGGAATCTTGCAATGCCAACTGTGTCTTCTTCTCGGTTGTGCTCCAAATCCTTATGGATGTATTTGCCTTGCTCTCTCCTTTGTTAGGACAGAGATTATTTCCCCAAAGAAACAGATTTGCATGTAAGCAACACTCCCCACGCCCACCCCCCAAAAATAAAACCTGATTTGTGAGATGCTGCCATGAACCTGAAGGCAGGATCTGGAATTATAATCTTGTGAGGTCACTATAAAGCAGTAATGTGCTTAAGGGTTTTTTCATATATATATATATGTGTGTATATGTGTGTGTATATATATATATATATACATATATATATTTACATATATATATATTTACATATATATATATATAATGCATATATATATATATATATATATATATATATATATAGCCTTATTCAGATTCTTGTACATATCAAAGAAAATGGGATGTCGTTCATTTTAAGAATGTACAAAAAAAATGAAACCAATAAAGGGTTTTGAGATTTCATAACCTGACGGTCCATTGTGAATTTTGGAATATTGGTGCAATAACCATGTACAGTTTTCGGGAAGCAGAGATATCCTGGTGTCCTGGGGAAGAAGGAGGGAGAGCATACAGCGGTCCTCGACTCAACGACCACCGTTGGACCCAGCATTTCCGTTACTGACCAAGATTGTCGTTAGTTTTGCCACAGTTGCTCAATGAGTCACTGCAGTTGGTTACTAAGCCAATCTGGCTTCCTGTGTTGATTTCGCTTGCCAGACGCCGACTGTGAAGGTCACGAATGGAGATTGCATGACCCCGTGCAACTGTCATAAGCCCATGCCAGTTGGCAATATCTCAAGTTGGATCACATGCCCATAGGGATGCTGCAATGGTCACAAGTGTGAAACCTGGTCGTGAGTCCACTTTTTTTCAGTGTCCTTGTAACTTCAACTGGTCACTGAATGGTTGTAAGTCGAGGAGTACCTGTATTTGGGTAAGAAAAGCTCTTTGCTAAAGTAGGCATTCTGGCTAAATTTCTGTTGTAGGTGAGATCAAGCAATCACCCTGAGCTGCTTTAGCAATTTGATATTTTCCTATGTTCTTTCTTCCTCTGTTGGTTCTCTTGCACTAGCAAAATTTGGCCCGTTTGTGTCTGCATCCAATTTAATCTTTCCCTTCCATTTAAATTGGGATAAAAAAAAAAACTTGACTGTAAATCTACAGATGCTGTGACTGTTTTCCCCCTTACTCTGATTTCTTAGCTTGATACTGCACCTTAAAGTCACTTGCTTTAATTATATACGGAAACATATAAACTTTCCGTTTTGCCTAAGAAAATCCATAGGAGAGGATAATCCTGATTCTGAAGCTTTTGAGAAACACACCCACCAATAGGATAAGTCTATGCAGTAAAGTTGTGGAACATGGCCTTGGCTGCAGAATTAGATTTTTGGAGAATCTCAGTGGATTTTTTTTTCTTTAAATACAAATCTAAATGTTTAGATTGGGCCAACTACTGCTCTCTGCAAGCCTGAAAACCACAAACTGTTGGGGAGAGAGAGGAGGCAGAAATAAAGAGCTACTATTACTCCTTTCTTTTGCCACAACTCATAAACTATTAGCGTAAATGTGAAATTAAGCAAACTCAAAAAACACGCAGCTGTTAAAATGTGGATAGTTTAATATGGACATTTTAAAAAGAAGCTTTCAAACAAAAAGGGATGTGTTTGTTTTAAGGAAGTTAATGCTTTGGGTTTTTTAAATTATTTTTTGTTTTATAAAGCTTGTGTTAGGATTTTGGAGGGACAACCAACAGCACACAATAATCGCTTAAAGTTGTCATTGGACTACGGTATTGTGCTGGCTTCTAGAAATACTGGTTTGTGTTGAAAAGAAATCTCTTGCATCCTGCCCTCTGGAAAAATCCTGTTTTGTTTTCCACAGGTTGTACTTCTTCTCCCCATCCATTCCACTTCAGGACTGTAAATCAAGGGGTTTCACTTGGACGTTTTCCAAATTGGACAGACGTTTGGCTGGGATGGTATAAGAGCCCTTCCAGGGGTGGGATTCGAATTTTGTAACACCCGGTTCTGTGGGCGTGGCTTAGGTGGTGGGTGTGGCTTGGTGGTCATGTGACTGGGTAGACATGGCTTGGTGGTCATGTTATTGGCTGGGAGTGGCCAACTCACATCGAGGCACGCATCTCCTCACCTGGCCTTTCATGACTGGGGATGCTGCAACAGTCGTAAGTATGAAAAATGGTCATAAGTCACTTTTTTTCAGTGCCATTGTAACTTTGAATGGTCACTCCACATAAGCAAAGTACCAGCAAAGGAGGGGGGAAAAAACTCCAGAGACGTTCCAGACAGGAAGTCTAGTCCTGCCAAGAATGTAATAAGGGTTAACGGAGAGGCAGTTTCTGTAAGCAACACCAGAATGTTTCCTTCCTGCCTTCCTTACAGGATTAGGCCAGTAATTTCTTCTAACAACCGGTTCTCCGAACTGCTTAGAATGTTAATTGGTTCTAGCGAATAGGTGCGAACTGGTACAATCCCACCCCTGGGCCCTTTCTTGAGCAGGGGGTTGGAATAGAAGACCTCCGATGTCCCTTCCAGCTACGATTCTGCTGGAGTGGGAGATCCTATATCAATGATGGTGAATCTTTTTGTTGTGGTGTGCTGAAAGTGCATGCATGCCAACACCCACAATGCAAAGCGCCCCCCCATGCATGCCTCTGTAGCCTTTGGGGGCCTGAAGGTGCCGAAATGGTCCATTTTTCGGCCTCCGAAGGCTGCAGAGGCTTCCCTCGAAAACGGCCTCCCCCAGGCTCCAGAGGCCCTCTGGAGACTGAAAATGGCACTTCCGGTATTTCCGGAAGGCCTGTTTTCGGCCTCCTGAGGCTGCAGAGGCTTCCCTCAAGCCTTTGGGAGGCCAAGAAGGCCTCAAGCGGAGTGAAAATCAGCTGGGAGGCATGCACACGTGCAGTGCAGGTAAGTTTGGCTGGGGCTCACATACCTGCACAAATGGCTCTGTGTGCTACCTGTGGCACACGTGCCATAGGTTCGCCATCATGGTCCTATATCATTTCAGACAAATGGTTGTCCATTTTGAAAGCCTTCAGTGATGGGACATCCACAAGTTCTGAAGGTAGGTTGTTCCATTGATGGATTGCGCTCACCATTAGGAAATTTCTCCTTAGTTTTAGGTAAAAGGTTGATGGAGATTCTCAGTCATCCAGGTCATGGTTGTCCCAAAGGTGCTTTTTTTCAGGAGGCAACTGGACTTTCTGGTTTTTCTTTGAAGACGTTTCACTTCTCATCCAAGAAGCTTCTTCAGCTCTGGCTAGATGGTGAGGAATGGGAGTTCGAGGCGTGTTGATCTCATTGGTTAGTTTCCAACCATAGTTTTTTGCTTTGCCTATTGGTGCTTCGGAAAATAGTTTAACTGCCTTGTCTTTTTAAGAGCGCCCCATATATTGGAACAGTGCTATCATGTCCCCCCCCCCCTTACTCCTTTTTATTAGACTAGACCTAACTGTGACCGTTCCCAGAATTCCCCAGCCAGCTGTGGGAAAGCCTGCTGTTTTGAAATGCTTGCATTGCCTTGTGCCTAGAAGTTCTAATGTGATGGACAACCCAAAAAAACCATGCAATCCTACATTGCATTAATAGAGGAATGCAATCAAGATCAAGTGAGGTCCTAATACCACTCTATAAAGCCTTAGTAAGAACTCACTTAGAATACTGCATCCAGTTCTGGTCACCACATTATAAAAAAAGATGCTGAGACTCTAGAAAGAGTGCAGAGAAGAGGAACCAGGATGATAAGGGGACTGGGGCTAAAACACGAAGAACGGTTGCAGGAACTGGGCCTGGCTAGTCTAGTGAAGAGAAGGACCGGGGGAGACAGGATAGCAGTGTCCCAATATTTGAGGGGCTGCCACAGAGAGGAGGAAGGGATCAAGCTATTTCCCAAAGCACCTGAAGGCCAGACAAGGAATAATGGGTGGAAACTGAACAAGGAGAGATTCAACCCGGAAACAAGGAGGAATTTTCTGACAGAGAACAATCAACCCATGGAACAGAAGTTGCCTTCAGAAGTTGTGGGAGCTTCATCCCTGGAGGCTTTCAAGAAGAGACTGTACCGCCATCTGTCAGAAATGGTGTAGGGACAGGGATTGGACTAGATGACCTACAATGTCCCTTCCAACTCTGCTAATCTTTTAATCTCCATCCCAAATAGCTAAGCAAACATCAGGAGAGCAATAGGAATCACTGGAAGGCAACGGATTCTGTAGGGTTACCTACAGAATATCTATTCTAGGTGTAATTCCCTTTTAAAATCCATCTTTGGGAGAAACCTGTCCTGCACCCTTCAACTTGCGTCCACAAATGGGACCAGAATTTCTGTTGCTAATAGGTCAGGCATTTGTTAAATGGGTTGCGCCTGATTTTATAACCATTTTGTTCTGGTAATTAAGCGAATCACTAAGTGAATCGGGCATTGTTAAGCGAGTCCAGCTTCCCTCATTGACTTTGGCTGTCAGAAACCAGCTGGAAAGGTTACAAATAGTGACTTCGTGTCCCAGGGACTCTGTGGTCATTGTAAATAAATACACACTGGTTACCAATGCCCGGAATGTGACCACCTGACCATGGGAATGCTTTGGTGGTCATAAGTGCGAGGACCAATCTGAAGTCATTTTTTTTTCAGTGTGTGATTGTAACTTTGGTCCCTAAATGTAACTGGAGGGCGACCTATCTTCTGCACCTGGAATTTCTGTGATTTCATGTGATTCAGTGATGGGATTCAATTTTTTGAACTACCTGTTCTGTGGGCGTGGCTTGGGCGTGACAGGGGAAGGATACTGTAAAATCTCCAGTCAGAGGTGGTATTTGCCAGTTCTCCGAACTACTCAAAATTTCCGCTACTGGT